CATCTGTCCGACCGTCCTGTACAAGTATATACAGGAATTCGCGATATATGCACATTCATGTGCATGTGGCTTCTCAAGATTGGTAGAGCGCATGCTTTCTGATAATAGGATCCCGAGTTCGAACCCTTCCCACTGCCTTTTTGGCCTTCATCAAAGCAATTTATCCACAATTATTGATGCTTTATACTCGGGTGTATAAATGAATACCCTGTAGGAGGTAAGACCCCTCATGTACAAGATCTTCTCAATGCCCATGAGCCGCTTAGGAGGATTGCTCCCAGGGAGTTGAGATGGTGCACACAATGTGCGCTGGCTTGCATTGTTTCCTATGACCGGGCTAATAATATCATTGAAAGCGCTAATCATCCAAAATTGGCGCTATATAACTCGAAATATAACTTTTAATCATAACTTATTATAGTTATTATAGTTAACTGATATTGGCTTTATTAATTATTACAATGCCTACGTTATTTAAGCACTTTGCAACTCCGAAACAAGAGGACACTGTAGTAACCACGATTAGACAGGGCTATGGAGACATTATTTGTATATATATGATTAGTATTTTATTTGTGATCATGAACGTTGATCATGTTGGTCATCTGACCGACTTCCTTTACAAGTATATTGAGGAATTCGCGCTACATGCACATTCATGTGCATGTGGCTTGTCAAGATTGGTAGAGCGCATGCTTTCCGATAATAGGAGCCCGAGTTCGAACCCTTCCCACTGCCTTTTTTTTCCTTCAGCAAAACAACTTTTCCACAATAATATTATTGATGCTCTATACTCAGGTGTATAAATGAGGACCCTGTAGGAGGTGAAAGCCCTCATGTAAAAGATCTTCTCAATGCCCATGAGCCGCTAAGGAGGATTGCTCCCCAGGGAGTTGTGATGGTACACACAATGTGTGCTGGTTTGCATTGTTTCCTATGACCGGGCTAATGATATCATTGTAAAGCGCTTATCATCCATATTAGGCGCTAGATAAATCGAAACATTACTTTTAATCATAACCTTATATAGTTATTATAGTTTTTAATATAACGGGGGGCGGGGGGGAGGGGGGAGTTAGTCATTCAAAACTATTTCTCTAGATCATGTAGATGATCTTTATCCATGCTGCTTTGATAAACTTTGCGTATTCGTATAAAGCATGAAATTAAAACATATTTATACAAATATGAAATAGTGATCTTTGGGGGGTTTCCAGATTACATGGCGTATGGTGGCTACTCATAACACAAATCCGTTATTACTCCAGATTATTGCCGAAATATCTAGTAGGATCTACGTGGCGACCTTTTCAGTTCAGCTATTTTATCACCCCCCCCCCCCCCCCATTGTTATGCCTTCCCATTTTCTCACCTCCCAGCAGAAGTACCATTCTCTGTTCATATCTGATTAAAATTCCTAAAAACCAAGGAGGAAATATAAAATGTTTTAAATCCCTTATCTAGACCTTCCCCCACCTCCTTGGTTACCCCTTGCCATCCATAAAACATTGTTATGCCCTCCCCTTTCCCCCCTTCCGATCCTAGTCCCATTCTCTGTTAATTTTTTTTTTTTTTAAACCAAGGAGGTAATACATACTGCTTTGCCATACATGACACATTGTAATGCCCTCCCCCTTCTCCCCTCCCGACACTAGTCCCATTCTCTGTTCGTATCTAATTAAAACCCTGCAACCAAGGAGGTAACATTTACACTTTATATCCCCTTATCCAGACATATCCTTCCCCCTGGCTACCCTTTGCCATCAATAAAACATTGTTGTGCCCTTCCCTTTTCTCCCCTCCTGATACTTCTAGTCCCATTCCCGTTCATTATAATAAAAAATAACCAAAACCAAGGAGGTAACATAACTATACTGCTTTATATCCCGTAATCTACCCCCCCCCCCCTTGGTTACCCCTTGCCATCCATAACACATTGTTATCCCCTCTAATAAAACCCTACAACCAAGGAGGTAACATTTTGGGGGAAATCTGACACTTTACTGGCATCCCTTTAGCTTATTAATCCACAATTCTAAACGTAAATAATATGTTGACATTGGTATCATTAAACCCAAAACCAAGGAGGCAACATTGACACTTTATATCCCCTTATCCAGACATATCCCCCAGCTTGGTTTCTCTTTGTCATCCATAAAACATTGCTATGCCCTCCCCCTTCTCCCCTTCCGACACTAGTCCCATTCTCTGTTCATATCTAATTAAAACCCTGGAACCAAATAAGGTAACATTTACACGTTATATCCCCTTATCCAGACCTATCCCCCTGGCAACCCCTAGCCATCCATAACAAATTGTTATGCCTTCCTCTTTTCTCCCCTCCCGGGGAGGGGGAGGGGGGGGGGGGTCATTCATAACTCTTTTATCTAGATCATGTAGATATTCTTTATCCATGCTGCATGTAACTGAATACAAATCATCGAATGTTTTGAAGGCACGGATCATTTAAAACCTGTGCGTAGGCGTATAAAGAACGACATTAAAACATAACTTACGTATACACTTATGAAATATTGCTCTTTTGGGGGTTTCTAGTTTAAAGAGCGTATGGTGGCTATGCCCCACTGTCTACTTATACCGCATATCTATTACTTCAGATTACTGCCAAAATATAGGATCTACGTGGCGACCTTCCCAGCAAGGCGATGTTAGGAACATTTCTGAGCTCAAATTTCCCCGCTGGAATCCCATTGAGATTGCATTGTGGTTATTCCTTAATAACTGATACCATTCAGGGTTTCGTCGGTGTTCTTGCAACGTGCATTCTATAATCTGAACATTTCTGAGGGGGGGGGGGGGGTAGTGAGCACTGCTTTTTTTTTTGGTCCTTGAAAATTTGAGCGCCAGGGAGGGGGGGGGGGCATTTCCAAAGAAACGTATTTTTACACGTTTTTTTTCCCAGGCCCCCCCCCCCCCCTCTCTCTGGATCCGCCACTGGGGTATGCGCACGGTAGCTGTATATAATTATAGGTTTTCCCATCCATTTTTCAAAAGATCGTCATTCAATTTCATTAGTGCACCCACTTTTTCAAGCACTCGAAAAGTTCCCCTTTTTACATAGGAAAAGTGCCCCTTTAACTTTGTAAAAATAGCCCTTTTTTACATAGGAATAGTGCCCCTCTTACCTGACGAGTGTCCCTATTAATTAGTCAAATTGACCCTTCCCCTTTTCATCTGTGATAAGTGCCCCTTTTATTTTCACACGTGCCCCCTTTTCCTTCGACAAGTTCCCATTTTCCTTTGCAAAAAGTGTCAATTTTCCATTCTAATAAGTGCCCTTCTTAATCTCTATAGTAAGTGCTTCTTTTCAGGTACGAGAAGTGCCCTTTTTCACTTTTGATAAGTGCCCCCTTCATCTTGGATAATTGCCCTATTCAAATCTGAGAGGTGCCTCTGTTACTGTGACAAGTGCCCCTTTTCCTTTGTAAGAGTTTCCCCCTTTAAATAGCTACCCCCATTTTAACTCGGATAAAGCAAATATTTTCACATGTTCCCCTTTACCTTTCTAATAAGCGCCCCCATTAAAAAAGAGCCCCTTTACCTTATCATAAATGCCCCTTTTCATCTCTGGTAAATGACCTTTTTCAGGTACGAGGAGTTACTCCTATCAACTTCAGATAAGTGCCCGCTTCACTTCCGATAAATGCCCCTTTAAAATCTGATCGGTGCCCATTTTCTTTCAACAAAATAATGCACATTTTCCTTTATTAAAAGTGCCCCTTTTTTATTCACATAAGTGCCCCTTTTTATATCTGGTCTTTGCCCATTTTCAGGTGCGATAAGTGCCTCTTTTCACCTTTGATAATTTCCTTTTTACCAATGATACGTGCCCCTTTTCCTTTCTAATAAGGGACCTATCCCCTTTTCATAAATACCCTTTTCACCTTAAATGCCCCTATCAAAATCTGATGGGGGCCCCTTTTCCGTCCAATCCAATTTTCCTATTCTCATGAATGACTTTTTTCATCCCTGGTGAGTGCCTCCTATTGAAGTTGTAAGAAATGCCCTATTTTCACCTCTGAT